TCCCCCCGTCTCCCCACTGGGATCCATTTCTCCCTGGACTATTGCTTTTTTTCCCCCTCCAGTTAATATGACCACATTTTCTGAACTGAAATGGAGACTGGCTCTCTCTCTCTCTCTCATTAGCACAGTTGTGCTTTGGAGAACAGGTGCAGAGAGCAGGCTGTCCGGGAATCCTGGGGCACGTGATCACTACCCACGCTGTAAGCCTCGTACTCTTCGATGGGATTGCCAGTGAGCTGTGGGCATGTCACCCACTGTCCTCCGGGGCTGGAGGGAGAAGTAGACCGGGCCGGCACCCGCCCGCTGATGCAGACCATCTCCGGTCCACGCCTGACAAGCGTGAGAGCTTGACAAGTCACAGTTTTTATTGTTGTTCTTTTGCATGCTCCTGAACTTGGGATCTTCTTCAGCGCAGAGATCATTTATTTCTCCACTTGCCACATCTCAGCATGCCGACTGGTCTTGCCATTACAGAACTCAGGGGAGATTTTTGCAGTTGGGTGGAATGTCTTTATTAGACAGAATGACTGGACACTTGAACAAGGCATGGGGTGGAAAAGGCTGAGGGCCCGACAGCAGGGAAGGTTACCCACAAGGAATTTGCCCGTCTTCCCCTCCGTGTACAACTGCGGTGCTCCTTCCATCAGGGTGGGGCGGGGTCACTTTCCCTGCCCCCGGGTCTGAGCTGGCCCCGAGGCCTACTCTGACCAATGGAGCACAGCAGACGTGACATTCTTACAAGGCCTGTGTGCTTCTGCTTTTCCTCCTCTGGAACCCAGCTGCCGTGCCATAAAGAAGCCCGGACTATTTTATCAGAGGGAGAGGCCCCAAGGCAACTCCTGGAAGATGGGACACCTTGGGGACGCACAGATGGCGCAGCGGCATGACTGACTCCAGTCAGCACCAGGTCAATGAGAACCATCCCCAAACCCACCAAATCGTGAGGAATACCAAATGGTGGTTGTTTTCAGCCACTAAGTTTCGGGGCTGTTTGTTGTACAGCGACTGATGACCGACAAAGGAGGCTCTGGTGTATCTGCAAATAGGAAGGAACAGGAGTAATAAACAACCTGTGCGGGGAAACCTCTTCCCTGGTTTCCAGAGTCACAGAGCGTTCCAGCACCTGTCTAAAGACGCACAGTAACTCAGGACAGGGACAGGCTGTCCGACTCCAAGCCCGGCAGAAGGGCACGGAGCCAACGCCGCTTTTGGCTTGGGCTTGGACGGGCCCACTGAGAAACCCAGGTGAGCTGGCTGGGCCTCTGGGTGCATGGCTTTGCCGTGAACTACACTCAGTGGCTGGGGAGTGACCTTGAAGCCAGGCAGGGCCCATGTGAGAGGTCTCTGGGGCTGTTCCCTGGGCTCTGTGCCTGGGTCAGAGCTTTAAAGACTGGCTCCGTGTTTGTGTTCACAGTGTTCAGTGACTTTCTACTTCCCTTCCCTGCAGCAGGTCATGGAGGTGCCAGAGCTTTCTGGGGTCTGGATGACAGGAAAGGCTCTCCCAGACACAGTGGTGTGACTCAGTGTCTGGTGGCCAGCAGAGGCGGTGAAGGTCCTGGCTCCTCGGTTTACTGATCTGTGAAGTGGTGCGATAGCAGACCCTGCCCCACAACATGGCGAGGCGGTGGGATGCACGGGGAGCGAGGCTGGCTCAGGCGCTCGCCAGGTGTGCACTTTCTCTCCCAGCTCTGCCGCCAGCTCCCCGGGGGGACTCCGACAAGTCACCAACCCTGACTGTGGTTTAATGTCCTCACCTGAAGTGCTCTATAAATGGTAGCTATTACTGACGGAGGGACATGAGAAGCTCAGCAAAGTCTTCGCACCTCCAGGCAATGGAAGAGTGGAAGCCTTCCTGCTTCCCTTTGGGGCCGGGACTGGCCACAGCCCCAGCAGGGGTCACAGTCCTTCCCTGAATCTCAAGGTTCCCTCTCCCTTAACCGCTCCTTACTCACTTACCAGGTGCCACAGACTGCGTGCTAAGGGCTGGGGGATTAAAAGAGCGAATGATTTAGCCTTGCTGGTTTGACTCAGTGGATTGGGTGCTAGCCTGTGAACCAAAGGGTCACTGGTTCAATTCCCAGTCAGGGCACATGACTGGGTTGTGGGCCGAGTCCCCAGGAGGGGTCATGCAAGAGGCAACCACACATTGATGTTTTTCTCCTTCCCTTCCCCTCTCTCTAAAAATAAATAAATTTAAAAAAAATGAATGATTCAGTGACTGTTCCACTAAGCTCCTTGTCTTGTAGGGGACAGAGAAATGATGGCGATAGCAAGAGTGGGACTGAGAGAGTGACTGTGGAAGTGTCCCAGGGGTTGGAGGAGTCTGAGTAAGGGGAGGAGAACAAAGAGAGAGTACACAAAGGCTACTTTCCAGGCGAGGTTTTTCTTTTCTGTTTTTTTAAAGAACCCAAGTCTGACCAATGACAGGGCATTCCAGATTCTATGTGAAATTAATGCAAAGGAGATCCACCTCCAGCCACAATGTGGTTTAAAAAAGAAAATCAAGGATAAAGAAATACAGTTATAAGCATTATACAAAAATATTAAATTTTAATATAATAAAAGACAGTGACCAATCGCATTTGGGGGAAAAATTATGTTTATATAAAATTGGCATCAGGCCTCGAGGGAGGGGTGGGATTGCCCCTTGAGCCCGAAAAGATGGCTCCAGTCATAAGCAGAGTTGAAGTTGCCTCACATTTTAGAGGAGAATAGTGATAAAAGCAAAATGAACTCTTGCTCACTGGTTCATGCCGACTCTTCCCAGCTTTGAATGGCTTGGTCCACTCATTCCTTACATTCTTCCAATATTCCAGCTGTGAGAGTTGTTGTTTCCTTGGTGTCACTTTTTTTTTTTACAGATTTTATTAATTTTCTGAGAGAGGGGGAGGAAGAGAAACACCCTGTGCGAGAGACACATTGATCAGTTGCCTCTTGCATACCCCACCTGGGGACCTGGGTCCGCAACCCAGGCATGTGCCCTGACTGGGAATCGAACCGGTGACCCTTTGCTTCACAGGCTGGCACTCAATCCACTGAGCCACACCAGCCAGGGCTTCTGGGTGTAACTTTGACAATACATAATGTGTCCTTGAATGTCTCCCATGCCTCATGGGATTTCTTTGGGGCTCCATGACCTCAAGGTCCAGCCTTGGTCCAGCTTTCATGCTCTGGTCTCTCCTTCCTCTCTCTGTGCTCTCTGGGGCCTGAGTTCTGGAAGGCCTTGGAACGGCACCTTTCAGGACCCGGAGGAGCCCAGGGAGCCAGGCCTGGCCAACAGCCCCAGACCACAGACAATGGTTCGCATACCCATTCCAGCATCGTAGCCTTGCCTCCCTCTAGGAAAGGGCCAGACCTCCAAGGCTGGCATTATTGGGCTCAAATCCTCGCGCCCAGGTTCTCTGTGACCTTGGTTAAGGTCACCGAACTCCTGACCTGAATTTCCTAAGCTGTGAAGTGTGAACAGTAAAAGCCTCTCCCAAGTATTTACAGTTCTCTCCTGTGAAGTGCTTAGCGTCCTGCCCAGAAAAGGTGCTCAGTAAACAGCACCTGTCCCGCCTGTCACCCCGGAGAAGTGCAGACAAAAAAGGATTTCCTGAACCCAGGACAAAAACCCTGGGGGTTTTTTTTGGTACAAGTGGGGCACCTGCTGTCATTTTCACTGCCCGGGACCTGGCAACCCTCGCTGTCCCCAGAAGCCATCATTGCCCTTCCAGCTCTGCCAGAGGAGCAGAGCATTTGTTGACCTTTCTCCCCCGTTGTCGTCTTTTGTATTTCCTCACCTGTCTTCTACAGCACTCCAGGATCTCCAAGCTTTTCTTCTTATATTCTCTCATCACATTAATAATAATAATAATAATAATAAAATAATAATAAAATAATAATAATGTAACCTGATTCTTAGTTAAGTCCCAGGGTTCCTTACTTCACAGCCAAAAGGTCAAGGACCAAACACTCCTTCCTCCGTTCAACGAACCCACCTATATTTATTCATGGAGCGCCCAGCAGGTGCCAGGCTCTGTGCTCAGAGCTAATCCTACCCCGGTAGTTAGGCTGCAGCCGGTTAACTTTCCTCCCAGGTCTGGCTCTGTGGCCTCGGGCAAATTACTTAACCTCTGAGTCTCCATTTTTCCAGCTGCTGGGATTAAATGAGACAAACCACTAGAGGCCACTCCACGGCGGGCGTGCCCAGCTGCGGGGCGTGTGGACAAGTGCCAGAGAGGGGCCGGGTGGTTTGGGTTCCAGGCCCCAACCTTTCTGTATTTGCTTTTCCAAGTTGTTTATTTTTCTAATGGCTAACGTATCTAGAATAAGAAGCGAGAATCCTCTTTAGCCCTCCTGACCTCTGCCCGACCTCAGACCGCCAAGGTGACTCAGCCGAGTGCATCCTCCCACAGCTTTTGTTTCGCCTCCCCACAAACACGCACTCCGGCCATCATTTTCCTTTGACAAAAATGGGGTAAAGTATGTGTACTGTGCAATGGCCTTGCTCTTGAATGAACAATGTACCATTTCTGCTTCCGTTCCGTGCATTTATCGCACACGTATTCGAACAGAGGAATCCGGACTCCGGGTCTGTCCGGGGGCGCTGCAGTTCTGAGGGGGGAGGGGGCGGAGATCAGGGCTCGCGCCCCCCTCCCCTGCCCCGGCCCCTCCGTTTCAGAGCTCGGCTTCCGGCCCGCTCGCCCCGCCACGGTCACCCAGACCCCTCCCCCGAGCCTCCTCTCCTCCCCATCCGCTCCCCGGACCCCTTTCTCGGAGCCCCAGACCCTTCCTCCCCGCTCACTCCCTGGTCTCCGGGAACGCTCCCCCCTTCTCGGAGCTCCGCCCCCGCCCCCGGCCCCCTCCACGCTCGCCCCCTCCCGCTCCGCTCCGGTCCCGCCCCTCCCCGGCCCCCAGTCCCTCAGGCCCGCGGGAGGGCGGCGGCGATCCCGGGAGGCGCGGCAGGGGGCGCTGCGCGGGCGGTGGCGCGGCTGCGGGCGGCGGCGGCGGGAGGAGGCCGGAGGAGGCGGGGGCGGCGGCAGGCGGGGGGCGGGGAGCGGCGCGCGAGAGGGAGGTGAGCGGCGAGACACAGGCTCCGAGGCTCCAGCGAGCGAGCGACGAGTGAGCGACGAGCGAGCCGGGAGGGAGGGAGCGAGCGAGCGAGCAGCCGTGCCGCCGCCTCGCAATCCGCCGCCATCCCGCCGCCCCCGCGCCCGACCGCCGCTCGACCGCCATAGCTCGGCCCGGTGTCGCCCGCGGAACCAGACCAGGTGGGCCCGGGGCGCGGGCGCGGGGCCGGGGGGAGAGGCGGGCGCGGCGCTAAGATGGAGGCGCTGAGGCGGCGCGGCCCGGCTTTGTCTCGGCGGCGCTGACTGACAGCGGCGAGCCCCAGGCCCGGCCGACCTTTGTCCGTGAGCGCGCGGGGCGCGGCCCGCCCCGCGCTGCCGCCGTTGGCCGGCCGGCGGGGCGAGGGCTGCGGGGCCGGGCCTGGGGCGTGCGGCCCGGCCCGCTCGCCATTGTTGTGGCGGCGCCGCGCGGCCTCCGCGCGGGCGGCGGGGTCGAGGCGGCCTCGGGAGGCCGCGCTCGGGCGCAGCGCGGCCGGAGTGCTCCCCGGGTCTGGGGCTGGTGGTGCGGAGCGATCCCCGGAGGCTCGGGAGTCAACTCGCCGACCCCTTGGGTCCGGCGGCCGAGACCGCCAGTTCGGGCTGGGGACCTCAGGGACGGTTCTGCACCCCCCCCCCGCCCCCAGCTGACTTTTAAAACCACCCCCAGAGGTGGGGTTCGGAGTCGGGCGACCCTCTGGGCCGCAGGGCCGAATCAGGGTGCGGAGCTGGCAGTCTCCCCCACACCCCCCCGAGTGTCAGTGAAGTTGGTGGCCGGGGGCTGCTGGCCTCTGTGCTGGGGGCCAGGGGCGGGGCGGTCACAGCCCGACGACACGGTCGCGGTTGCAGTGCGGACCTAGAGGGTGGTTTTGTAAATGCTTAATTCTCTATTGCTGAAAATGCTTAATAATAAACAGGATGTCGTTGCTCAGGGCCTGCCAGATGGATTTTTAAAAATTTTTTCCCTGCCTTGCCCCCTTTCCTGAGTAACAGCGCTGCTGAAATCCTGGGCCTTGGAAGAGGGGATTTTGCCTACATAGCGTTGGAAGGTGTTTTCTTTTCTCTCTCTCTCTCTCTCTCTCTAAATCTCGTGGGAGGTCCGAGCCCACGTTGAGGCCAGAAGGGGGTGTTTTCAGGGGGACGGTTCACTTGAAGGAAGTGGGAGAAGGGGGCTGGGAGGCTCTCTGGAGTGTGTTATTTGCTAAATGGCTGCCTGGCAGAAACCTTTAAAAGCCTTTGGTTTACAGGGTTGTTAACCGTCCCTGAGATTTTTTTTTTTCCCTGTAGAATTTTATGTGCATTTTTACGTGGCTTTATACATGATCAGGTCTGGTTTGTGTAACACGCTCTAAATCCACTCAGGCTTGTCTGGGCACAGCCCTGGGGTGTGAGGTGGGACTGGGGAGGCCCAGGCTTTGGGGTGTCAGTCCTGCTTCTGTCAGGAAGACTTACGCCTTCACTGGCGTAAGTAGGGACCTTGCATTCTCCACCTTCTAGGGTTGGAAAGATGGTGGAAGGTGTAGCTAGGAGAGGGCCTGGCACACAGTTGGTGCTCACTCGGTGTTCCTCCCGTGGCTGTTTGTGTAATCGTCCTGGTGGAGAAGTTAGCCACTGGAGGTGCCACCTCAAGAGCACAGCAGTCCTGCCGATGCCACAGGTGCTAGGCTAAGGCCCTGCCGAGGGAGAAGTAACTCAAGGCCAGTGGGCCACTGGCTTTTTCAGTCCTGGGCTTCTGTGGGGAGACAGGGTTGGAAAAGTAGCCTGTGGAGCCCTTGAGGACTGAAAAGGTCTGGGTGTGTGGTCACAGGTCCCTCGGCATGAGTCCAGGGTGCCTGCGACCCTGGAGACTGCGCCTGCTGCTCGCTGTAGGGCGGAGTGGGATGTAGAGAACAACAAGCCGAGGCCCAGGGGGTCTTGCCTGGGGAGCAGCTGCTTCCCTTAGGGGAACAGCAGGCGATCATCTGGGGAGCCTCTGCTTGTTCGGGCAAGCGTGTCTCTTGGAGCCTGGATTCTGGTCCTCTTCGGGTCACCTTACGCAACTCTCTGAGCCTCAGCTCCTGCATCTGTAAAATGGGAGCAATTACGCCTTGTCTTAATTAATCTGTTGAGGCTCTTGGGAGCCTCAATGTACTATTTGTAGCCAAGTGCTTCCATCCACTGGGAGTGATGAAAATGTATGTTGTTTTTGTGCTTATCTAGTTTTCTGGTTCCTTTTTCCTAGTTCCTGGTCTTTTTCTCCAATTCTCTTCATTGACAGAAATGTGTGTGACCTCCTCACCCCAAATTCAGTACCCTTCAGTGTTTTAATATGGGGACCATTCAGCTGCCTAGAGGCGCCAGCATAGCTTAGAAGGGCTGCGCTGCTCAGCCAAACGGGGGTGTCTTGCTTTTTATGGCAGACGGTAGGAAGGACTGAGGCCAACCGGGAGGCTGACCCCAGTCTTGGCTGCAGGGGAAGGTTGAGACCTGGTTACCTGTGGGCCAGACCCTGTGAGCAAGACTCTTTGCTTGGGTTACAGTGGTTCTGAAGTCTGACGGGGAATTTGGACTCGTTGGGCATTCCCACAACCATCTTGGTTTTCTTCTTTTTAAAAAAATCTCCTTGTAACCTCCGTCAGACCTCCTGGCTGTCTGTGGGACTGAGACATTTTTGACAGGGTCACGTCATTCTTTCAGTCCCCACCCCGTTCGTGCCTCTTGGCCCATCTTTTTCATCTGATTTCATTCCTGCCCAGTCTGGCTCTGGTTCCGGGCTGCTGGTTGGTTAAGGAAGGAGATGAATCGGCTGTCCCTCCCACCAAGCTGTTTGATTACTTGTGAATTTTAGTTCTTTTAGTCTTCTCTGCCCGTTGTGGGGGCCTGTCACCTCCTATAGCTCCCTGGGTCTTCTCCAGTCTCCCGTGTGGGCCCAAGTGGGTAAAGAAAAAAAACCTGGGGAAGGAAGAGCCAGAAAGCCTTGGGAGAGTGGAATTTCAGGAATGGCGAGTCAGGACTAATTCCAGGCCTGGTCTAGTTGCCTGGGGCCTGGCCGAGGCTTGCCTTTTTTTTTTTTTTTTTTTTTTTTTTTTTTTGGTTGGCCTGTTTACACCACCCTCTTTTTAAAATATCAGTTTCCTTTTTTTTCCTGCAGGATTATTTTATTGCACTTTCCATTTTTTTTCTTTGCCTTGCACAAGGTACTGACTCATGTTGCTGATGGCTGTGTGCTGGTTATATGTCTCATTATTCTGCTGCTTAAGATTGATCATTTCTGGGTTGGTTTTTGCTTCAAACAGTAATAGGTGGGGGGGGCTGGTATGTGTATTTCTAAATTTGAAAATGAGGCTTCTCTACTGTCACATGCATGCACCTTGTTAGGGGCAAGCAGGAATTAAACAGGGCCTATCTATACTCAATTTTTAAGTGATACATTCATTCCTTTCTGAAAAATTGAATTTCCTACAGAGATCTGTTCGGCTTTGTGTTTTGAATCTCATATTTCAGTTCAGGCTCACCAGACTATCTTCTTTTGCAATCATAGCTTGATTTTTTTTTCCTTAAGATTTGTTTCCCTGGGCCCTGGCTGGTGTGGGTCTGTGGATTGTGCACTGGCCTGCAAACCGAAAGGTCACCCATTTGATTCCCCGTCAGGGCACATGCTTGGGTTGTGGGGCGAGAGGCGACCCACTAATGTCTCTCTACCTCTCTCCCTTCCACTCGCTCTAAAAATAAATAAAATCTTAAAATAAAGTGTTTTTTTTTCTGGGACTTGTGTAGCCTTGGGGACCTGGGTCTGTCATTTTGGACAAAGAAATAAAGGCGTTGCCTGTATTAGGGCTGGAGATGAGAGAGAGAGATGATGAGCTTCCTGGTGAAGTAAAACTGGCCCCCGCGAGCTTTTCGGTTGAAAAGGTGCCGTTTGGACCAGCCCTCCTCACCTGGGACCTTGAAGACTGGGCTCTGCTGCCTGGGATGCCGCTGGTTCCATCTGTGGTGGCCTGTGGGACATCTCTGCCCTGGGACGGGGCTTTCCTTAGTGACCCGAGCCACAAGTCTCGGCTGAGTGTGGTGGTTGGCTGTACTTGCTGCTGTTGTGTGCGGCTCTGCAGGCGGTGGGAGGTGTCTGGGCAGGAAGGAGTCTGAGCTGCGGGCCGCCCTTCGCATTCGCCGCTGCTTCCTTCCGCTGCCACCTCTGCAGTGGGTTTGCAGCTCTGCCCCGCAGCCTTTCTGCCTCCTCTCGAGAAAGCCAGCAGGCTTTTCCTCCTCGTGGTGATGCAGGAGGTAGTTTTGATTGTTTTTAAATTCACTGGTGTGCAGCAGAACTCCTTGCGCATCTATTATCTGCCGGCATTTTGCAAGGCCTTTTAATTACACTTCTCCCTATTTGTAAGAGTAATGTTTTCACTGGAAAATTCTGAAAAGAATAAAGACAAAAATAAAAATATGAATTACCTGCAACCTTACTATATGGTAAAGGACTAGTGTATTTCTTTCCTTTGTGTTTTCAGAATTAGAGAAAATACTACATACAGTGTTCAGTTTATAGTTCCTCTTAATGTTAGAGCACAGGTGGCAAACACGAGGCCCGCCACCTGGTTTTATCCAGCCAGCACCTTCTCTCTGCCTGGCCGCAGCGCTGAGCTCCTCGCCCCTGGTTAAGGAGTAGTTACATTTACACAGTCCTAAAATTATTCGGCCCTTTGAAGAAGGCAACCATGAAGCCATTGTGGCCCCTGGTGAAAATGAGTTGGATACCCCTGTGTTATAGTGTATTTTCCTAAATTACTTGAAATTAATAACTGCATAGTTGCAGTTATGTGGCTGTGACATGATTTATTTAATCCTCTGTTGTTAGACAGGTTGTTGTTACCCTTTTTTCCTTATAAACAAAACTTGAAGAAGTATCCGCGTCTGTAAATCTTGGGCCACATGGCCGGTTATCTCCTGTAAGTGGGACTTCCGGGTCACAGCGTGCGGGCACCTGCCCAGGTCTCTGGCACGGCGTCAGTTTTCTCCTGCGGCCCTTGACGCATGGTCTCCAGCCTGTGCACAGGGCGGCCTTCTGCCCGGGCCACTGAGTCCTGGGTCTCGGTCCTGGGTAAGCACTCCGCTGAGTGGGGCGCGGGGTCTCACTCCATTTGCTGGTTTGAGTCTGTCAGTGACTCATATTTATTGTCCTGGGACCCGGA